CACGACATGTCTATTAAATGGCAATTATTGAAGTACTTTACATGTTATCAAAAAAGTGTGTAGTAGTAAAGCTTTTAATTGTAAAATATAAAGAATTAATGTCTTAATTATTGCAAGTAGCAAGAACATTAATACAGAAATATGTCATGACATGACTGTAGTGTAAATAACAACAGAGATTTACATGAGTCGTTTACTTCTGCATTCGTTTGACGACTTGTAAAGAAGTATTTTCATTTTGATGGTTTGTAAGTGCCGTTTAAGTAAATGTACATTCAGTGATGTAGATCAAAGTAGAACCAACGATGTTGATGCTTTTCAACGTTTTTATATAACCAAACCAAAGTCTCCCTTGGAGAAATATATTGATAACCTAAAAGAAAACTTGCGAGATGCTAAAGAAAGAGAATGAAGAGTCTCCGAGTGGCTGCAAGAACGCTCTGAAAAGAATAAACAAAGTCAAATTCAACGTGAGGGACTGATGTGTAGAAATTTTCACCACAGGGAAGGACATAATCGCCTGAATTGCCCATACCATAAGTGTGATACTTTCTTTCATTGTAGAGAACTGACTAAACACCCTGAAGTAAAATCAGAAGTAAAAGAGGTAGAGYGACAGCAGTGAGACCTGGTCAAGGAGATTTCATTCATTGAAAATGATTTGAAAGTAAAACAGGCAGCTTCTGCTTCGATCAAAGAACAGTATGTTTACAAAGTCAGGGCTTCTCTCATTGAGAGCGATCCTACCAAATACTTAAACATCGGTGCCGATGGAACACAAGTGGAGAATTGGTTTCAGTTGAACAAAGATTCCAAAAAACTTGAAAACATTCTTAAAGGCAAAATTCCACCTCCTGGGTTTGACATACAAAAGGCGCTGAATGAAACTGACCAAAATTTGAGTCAGTCTGTCCCTAAAAGCGGTAAAGCAAGCGTACGAAATCCATATCGAAGGCTTTGGGAGGATCGAGGTGTTAACTGGCCGACTGCTACTAGTACAAGTACTAATACTGCTGCGGTATCTGATGATTACCAGCTGGCCCTCGGGATTCAAAGAAGTTTAAATGAATGAACTTTTTGGCATATACTGATGTTGACTATGTTATATGCTGTTGGCTGATGATGACTGTAAAATTATACTTACTTTAAATGTTATGTTGGTCATAATGAGTTAATACCGTTGACTTTCACTATGGTATATACATACCGAATTCTAGTTGAATTATTTGCTATGTCATGATATTTTCACGAATYGTTTTGCAAGAAATCTACTATACTGCAACGAACAAAATGCCACGTCGCGCCATAGTTAATTACAAGCCAAAGTGACCAAGGGTAATTTTGTCCTTTTTAGGGATATTTTGAATTCACCAGCATGCCTGTGACTTTCTCAAACATTGCGTCAAGAAAGTTGTCATGTAAATAAAATGCAATGATAAAAAACTATGTGCATTTAATCTCCATTCACACATGTTCACACGCATATTTCGAGCAAAGAGTCGACGAGATAAGAMAWAAACTGAAAAATGTAATAAAGTACAATTCAAAGTCATTTATTTGCTATTATCTATTAATCAAAATAAGAATATATTTTGATAACAAAGCTCTCACAAGTTTAGAAATCACRSGAAAGCTGAGTGAATAAATTCGTACATGAGACGGGAAATTTGTTTGCATCATAGTTCACATCGCAATGTAGTCAGTGTGTCTATAAAAATTAACACAGTCATTTACACTTACGTATTCTAGCGATTCGTAAATCCCTTCATGAACATTTCTACAAAAATTTGCTTTTATATCGTCCCTTTTAGCTATACATTTCAGTTTATTAAAAAGAAGTTCGTACGGGTTATCAGTCACGCAAGAACCAATACTATATTACAGTTACAATGTAAATAATTCACTCAACACATACTCTAATAAAGGATCCGCTAGGATTCCTTTGTTAGCTCTTTTAGTTGTCAAAGTGAAGACCTTTTCATTTCCTCTTTGTTCTTTGTGATTTCATCCAATACTGCATACAACTCTAATCCTTTGGCAATCTGATCTAGCATGGGAATTTTTGGCTTTAAATACACTTTGATATACACCATAGTTGATAGAGGGGAATGGTTAGGAAACCCTTTTGTTTTGGGTTATGATAACATGGCGATTTAAATAGAATAAATCAAATTTTGGCAAGATTGTTGTCAGAGCTTGTCAGTTCATGACCAAAATGGCCCATTACATTGTAATGCAACTTCCCATTAAAAAAAAATAAATAAAAATTAGATGAGATTTAAAGAGCTTACTCATGGTGATCTCAATTACTTACCACTGTCATTTTCATCCTCACAGATTGACGATTTCACCATTATATAATCTAGTCGTCCTGTGCGCACTTTTTAAGGCCACATTATCATAAAAGTCATATCCAGTTTTATTGAAAGGTAAGTTTCTTAAAAGCATGAGTCGCGGTCCTAACTCACTAACCTCCAACATTTTTAGTGAACCTGCAGCAGAAGTCTCTGGAAGGAGATCATGTACGGTTGACTGCCTTGATCTTGAGGGGTTTCTGATGGTGTATCTACGCTGATGTTATTGGCGCCATTTTTCCCGCCATGTTATCATTACAAACGAAAGAGTTTATATGGGTTTTGAGCTATAAAAAATCATTTGATTTTATAAAACTGTTCTTTTTAAGTTTTGATCGAAGGCTTGTCGCAAGCATACCAAATGAGGTAGCAACTACCACTACGTCTTTCTTCTTTTAACCAAATATATGAAAGGGAGCCTTTTTCACTTCTTTAGTCTCCAAGATCTCACCAGGAAAAACTTGGCAATGTAGCTGTTTAAAATTTTGTTTTCTACCATTTGGCATCAAGCTGTTTGGAATAGCGTACCAAATTTTCAAGAAACCCAGTGAAGGACCGAAACACACAAGTCATCTTAAATTGGTGCTCTGCCTTGTTTTGAAGATTACATTTCAATTTCCTACAAATTAAAATAAGCTTTTATTGGGATTTAATTCCAAAATTATTCCATTCATTATAGCTCACTTTCCTCACTCACACTTTCATCTGGTCTATTATATTCTTCTCCTGAAGCAATTTCGGGCTCAAATTGATAAGGAAAAGCCATAATAGCTCTTATCGTAGATGAGCATGACACCCCAACAAAACAGTGGTATCGTGATGAACGTAGCATCAAAACGAGACTATCGGGTCGAGCTCCAGATAATTTGCTAAGAAATTTACTACAAATCTTCGAGAGATCACTGCATTTTGATAGATATTTTTGATATATGAAGAATTTTGTAGTCTTTCTAACTATGGTCAAACACTATATAGCTTTTGATGTATGGACAGAGTTTTGAAGGCAGAAGGCAAGGAATTATCGTGGCTTTGCTACCATTGATAACTGTAAAAAGTGTATGGCTCATCAGTCAAAATACGTAGAGATAACTGAGTTACCAAAAAGTCTTACATTTATAGTTGGCATTTCGAACATGAATGCTTTATTAAGCCACTGGGATGACAGATAATTGATTTAAAGCCGAGATCTTTGCAGTCCAAAATTTTTTTATACTGTCCACACTATGCGAGGAGGCTCTCAGTAAAACACTGCATACGAGGGCTCTAATAGTCTATTAGTACAACAGTCAATTTCGTTCTGTAGTTCTCAAGTATGTTAAGAAGAGTTGTTTGAATCTTAACTATCCTATCTTCGTTCAGAAATAGAAAGCCAATAGCTTTTATACACTTATAAACTTACAGCTATGAAGTTTTTTTCTCTAGGTTGCCCCAGCTTTGTTGGTCAAAATGCAATTCATCTTGGAGACTGTCAACTCCGTGTTGTTTATTGAAGCCAACCATCTAGAATAAGCTTGCTTTCACGGCTCAATGATAAGTGTAAGTTCCTTATCTTTAAAGACTTAGTCATTAATGTAATATATATGTTTTTAGTTTAATATATATCGTAATTGGTGATGACCTTTCACTGTCTTGACGATGTCCTGATTRAGTGTTGTCATCACGGACCCATTTTTTGATGTTAGTTTGTGTGTCTCGTGAGCCAGACTTGTGGCCTGTGTTTCATCACTGAAGACAAAGTTTCTATGAGTAGCAGAGGCAATTTCCTTGCATCTTTTCCGCTCTGGCTGTGAATTGAGCCTTGCGTTCTTTTTATTTTTTAATTCTTTCAGTTTCTTGCTTCCTGGCTTCTGTTGTTTTCTTTGTTATTTTGTTTTGGTTTTGGTGACCTTTATTTTCTTCATCTTTCTCCAGAGCAATTCTTGATGTTTTTCGTGGTCGCTTTTTGGCCGTGACTTCATTCTCCATTTGCTCAGCAACCTGTAACACACTGCAGTTCCTCCTCGTTATCTGAAATACATATTTTGTGATTTGTACATCACTTAAGTCTCTTGCTTCAAGCTCTAATTGTTGCGCTTTTAATCATCAAATCCATCATACTAGAAAGTCTATTATTTCCCTGTATTCCAAACAATAAATCAAGGTATATAATCAAGGTATAATAAAAAAAACAAGGTATAAATCAAAATTTTGACTGTTTAAACCTAAAAGCTGCATAGTCAACATTTCAAGTTTTTGTGGCTAATTTTAATTTCTAGATATTTGCCGCGCCAAATGAGTTTGATTTAGCTAATTGTTCTTTTTTTTTTTACCAAGTACAGGTAGTTAATTTTGCTTAATATTCTCTTCTATAGATTCCTATATAGTAATTTTGTCAGGTAATGCGTACTTTCGCGCAAGTCAGCTATGTTGCGAAGTACACAACCCAAAACAGACAAGAAAACAAAACAGACAAGAAAACTATGCTTTGAAGTACGCAACCCTGAGGATAAATTGATAGGAATTCACATACCAGGTCGGTATTTTTTACGGAAAACTACGTTATTACACAAGAAAAATGGCTGAACTCACAGGACTCGTAAGCCCTCGCAACCATTAATAGCTCTCAACAAAGTTTTCAAAGATGTCGGTTTTGATAATTATATATTATGTTTGTGAGGGCTTACGAGTCCTGTGAGTTCAGCCATTTTTCTTGTGTAATAACGTAGTTTTCCGTAAAAAATACCGACCTGGTATGTGTAACGGTTGTTTTCCTACATCCCACTTCTGACACCAATGAATAAGTTAACTTGTAAAGAGTTTTATTCAGACCATAGTAATCTAAACTAAATACAAAGATGGCGGACTGCACGAGGACTGGCGTACGAACTACGCATGCGCGAAGATGAATAACGTTTACCGGAAGTGAAAGGTTCCGGAAGTAAAACTATAACAGACGACTACCCCAAATTGGACATAATCTTCAACTCAACATGCCGCCAAATACTTTCCTTCTGGCCAACGGTGGCTACCCTTCAAGATATCCTCTCATCACACCTTTCCGTAGGATAAGGGGGCGTTACAACGCTTTGCAAGCACAAGCAAGCCATGACCACAGACGCATCAGAGTACATGTAGAGCACCGTATAGGAGATGTCCGCATCTACCGAAGTGTACCTGGACGTCACGGGCGATTTCGTCAGAGGAGATACCTCAGTCCTTTGGTCACTGATGTCGTTATCGCATTTACAAATAGAAGAAGGCACCTTATTGCACGCATGAGAGAAATGCTCATAGACTCACTGTAAGGACACGTCATATGCATGACCGGAGATGACTATCATTAAACGGCCCGTGAAAAAAAAGTATGAGTCTAGTTGAAGTGTAATAATTACATGCGCATGCACTAAATCCGTGATACAAATAGTAATAAACGAGTAATAAACGAGGCTTATTTGCATGCTATTCAATTCTCATTTTATTTCATGGTTTATTCCATTCTTTGTACAAATTGGATGTTTTACTTTATACGTGAATTAAATGAGCAATCTAAGAGTCATATTCAAGTTTGAATCAGAATTTTTCTCAGTTGTCTAATTGAATGAATCAAGATGGAAATGAAACACATTTCACTGGTTGATGAAACCACCCTATCATATAATTCTCTATGGACGCACCTATCTCTTTCCCTCAACAATAGACTAACTAAAATGATGATAACAATTGTTTATTAACAAAAACTATTTAATTGACACAAAGTAAGCTTGCTTTTAGTACTAGATTTTTGTATGACATGTTTGATTACAAGGTATCAAACCAACAAAAACCAAAAACATAGTATTATTGACCCATTTGTCTCTGAATTTAATTGGCACTTGACTCCGAGCTGCTGGAACTCATGTCCATCCCTTGCGCCTGTGCGCTCTTTAGGAGGTATTTCATATGAAGCTTTGCGGCCTTCAAACCTACGTACATAAGTTCATCGGCTTTCTTGGTTAAGGTTTTG